AGATTAACTTGCTTGCCAATAATAGCAGTACGACTTCGACAATTTAAGCCCGTTTTCCACTTCAACATTTCACCGCCGCCCCGCGCTCGATGGCATTATTAAAAACAACATTTCCGATTCATTGTTATACAATACTCTGGTTCTCCATTTATAACATACCAGTCTCTATAGTCCTGGACTAGGGTACATTTTGATTTACGTGCGTGGAGAAAGCGTCGGACAAAGCTACAGTTCGGTTGGACACCAGTACACTCGGGTCGGACAAAGAATAAACCTCAGTTTCACTTAGGTCGGACCGAATGTCCGGTGGTTTCCTCTCTACGTCAGACAATTTGACGAATGGGTCGGACAATGTCCGTGACCGACCGATATTTTAAGGCCTGAAAAATCAGATTTAGGGTTGCAGAGTTGTTAGTTACGTATGAGCACATTACTTAACATATATACTGTTTTAACAATATTCATGCAAGAATATCTACATAATTACCCAGGTCTTGATTACTATTCTTATATATATATATATATATATATATATATATATATATATATATATATATATATATATATATATATATATATATATATATATATATATACTGGGTGTTGGGGTAATGATTTCTTCAGGCAAAAGTAAGCTTAAAAAACTTTAATAAGTTTGTCAGACGTTTCGCCGGTTAGGGCTTCATCAGTGACACAAATGACACAAGCCCTAACCGGCGAAACGTCTGACAAACTTATTAAAGTTTTTTAAGCTTACTTTTGCCTGAAGAAATCATTACCAACACCCAGCACATATATCCAGGCATGGCAACCAAAACTTTTTCATATATATATATATATATATATATATATATATATATATATATATATATATATATATATATATATATATATATATATATATATATATATAATATAGATAAAATAAACCTGGTTTACTTCATAAGATTTATTCACTACAAACTTGTTTCATATGACAAGCAATGCTTGCCACACTCATCAGGTGAATTTAAATGTCACCATGGTGAATTCATCATTCATCATGGTGAATTCATTCATTCATCATGGTGAATTTTAATGTGACATTTAAATTCACCTGATGAGTGTGGCAAGCATTGCTTGTCATACGAAACAAGTTTGTAGTGAATAAATCTTATGAAGTAAACCAGGTTTATTTTATCTTTATCTATATTAGCTCTATACTTCGATATATCGAGCACTCTACTCATATATGATTCTAAATGCATATTATTTC